CTGCAACTAGAATTGTTGGATAGATGGCTTGTAACCCTTGTAGAGCTAGAGCAAGTTTGCATTTCACTATTTGTCATACTAATCAAATTGCTCCAGTTGATTTGTAGATTTTTAAATAGGCTATTGACCCCCCTCTAACCATATTAGGAACTTTCAATATGCCATCATGAAAGATAATTCAAAATAACTCCTAAAATTGCGTCTCAATTCCGCCTACACCATTATTAAGATGGTTTAATAGCAGACCCTAAAACCACCGGTGTAATGAAAGACAATCTAAAACAACTTTCTAATTTTAAATCTTAATTATTCACATCTACCATCTAATAACATAATAAAATAATCTATTTGAATTGTATCTAAATTTCCTAACTTTGCTGTTATAAAAAATAAACTTAAATATACCTCAAATCTATGTGCAAATACCGATATAAGGTATTATAGAAAATAATTCAATAACCACAAAGCATGCTTTATATATGTTTCTAGTTACGCACTTCAACCATTGTTAAATTAAAAGTAAGCACACATGCTAGGTACCACCATGTATACCAAGTAAATATGCATATGTAGGATAATATTCAATTTAACAATGTACAAGTCGTAAGAGAAGTTTTCTTTGACGATGACATAAATAATTCACTTTGTATTATATTGACACCCTCTTACAATACAGCATGTCAGCTATTACTTTAGATAAATTTATATATTTTAACTGAAACATTATGATATATCAATACTGGTAATTTATTTTTAAGCTTTCTATGTTCCTTTATAAAACAATTATAGTAGCATGTGAGCGAAAGAGGGGTGAACTGGGTCACTTAAAACTTAAACCTAGGGCTCAACTTGATCTACACTAGAAAATCCATAAACTAGCTACCATATTATTCACTTATGGATTTATATATAGTGTGCTCGGTCTTAACGGCCAACCCACAAAAAGTTATGCATCCTTGATAAAATCATAACAACTAACATATATTACATGTTAGTCTAGGAAAGGTGAGGGTCACAGAAGATAAGCGCAATGTCGAAGCTTAAATGCGTAAGGTAAAGAGCAAGTCAAGAGAGGGAAAACTACCGAAGAGATTAAGATTAATCATCTCGTGGTATCATTTGCCAAACTACAACCGCTTCTTGTGGCAAGGCTAGCGCTTTCTGTTTCTCCACTACTAGACCTTCTAGTGAGGCAATTTCCACAACGACGCCTTCATTGGACATCACAGAACAATCTGCCAATTGTTCGGTGCGTTTAACTTCATGGTTGTTGGACCATCCAACGTGTGCAACTTTTGCACTTGCTTGTTTTGGCTCCATTTCTTCGCCGGCCTTCACACCACTTGTCTTGCATCATGACCTAGAACATGTATATCACATCCTAACTAGTGACATCAGTTATGCAACCTACTTACATTGCAACACATAATGATGTTGTAGTACTTTTCACTAGGAGTATTCCAAGGTTTATATCTTACTCATGGAACAAAGGAGAAGAACGAGCTAAGTATATATAGAAGGAAACCTCAGCCTACTACATAGTACATATTCTTAAAGGGTTGTTGGTTGCTTAGACCCAATCACACGCAAAAGGCTAGTCACTAGGACCTACAAACAAGCGGTATTTGTGCGAGGAGAGGTAATGCCTAGGGATTGCAAACAAGGTACTCCGTATATTGTTGGTAACTTGAGATCATAACCAATACTAATTTGTGGCCAAAGGCAGCAAAGCGTTGTTGTACTTGAACCATACTTGCTTCTTCAAACCTCTTCCCTCCTATTTGGCGGTCCCCAAATTTCAAGTCGACCCATAGGCTAGCCTATCACCCCCCAGATCATGTCCTACTCGCCGGATGATGGCTACACCTACTCTGCCACTCTATTACTTTCACAAGATCTGCTAGGCCTAACGATCCAACCAAAGCACACTCCATCATACACTACTGATGCATTTTCTCTAGTCTAATAGATATACTAGCTACCCTTCACAAATCACAACTTATGCTACAATGCGATCACTCTAGAGCAATGCACTATGATATACTTTTTTGCTAACGGTTTAGTCACCAGACTAGGATCACAACTATGCATCTTACCCTAGAAACTAGATGATAAAATAAAGGAACATGAATCATGCATAGCACCATCATAGGTAATAATGTTGCAAGATATGTAGCTCAAACACAAGTAACTAGATGCATATAGATGGCATCATGGTTATACATTTTTTTGAAAAGGCATCATGGTTATACCTTGAAGATACATTGGAGCCCTAGACAATCAACCACATAGGGAGATCGGTCAGTAGGATGCATCCTTGCGCCTAGATGAAGTGCTCAGTGGTGTGGTCCATGCTAACTAATATTGCGCCCTCCTTGACCCTAGGGGTGGGCTTAATTAACCAAAACCAATGAACCGAAGCAAAATGACTAAGATTGAAACTAAAAATTTAGTAGTCCCAGATCCAACTAATTGGACTTAGTATAGTTATTTTGGTTCCTAACCTTGGTTAACCATGTAGATGAGAAAGCCGAGATATAAGAAAAGGTTGAACAACAAAAACAAAAAGCCCAGGCCCAATACTACAGAGCACACACACCCACTCGACCTTATCCTCATCATTATTTTATCATATTTTGATAGGCTAGGACATCTAATAATAAGTTCACACTATAAGTACAGAAATTATAAACATAATAATCATAATGTATTTTTTCACATAAATTATGACGTCTCCTATTATATCACAAAATTTTAAATTAAAACTCATCTTGTACGTAGGGAAAAGGAATCTTACTAAGACTAAATGGACTGACTGAAATAGTCGGGGCACTAAATCAAATCAATTGTTAGTTTAAGGGGTTATTTGAACATAGACCAAATTTGAGGATTTATTGAACTTTTTCCCTAAAACATAAGTGATATTGAATAATCTTCCGATGCATTTGCATGAGAACTCGTAACATACGTAGATGTGGATATAAATAACAGCACTGCTAGTGCCCGAACGTCCGGTGTTAGCGCCGGACGCCTAGACGACACACGGACACCCGCACCTACAGTTCAATTTTTGTGCCATTTCGCGCGCCCACGTGTGGCCCACGCCACCCGGACGTTGCTCGCCCGCGCTTGTAGTCGCACGCGGGAACGTTTGTGCCGCCAAGCCAGCGGCACCCCAATAGCTATATGTAGCAGGTGGATCCCATTGCAACATATGTAAGACGAGATCTATTTTTGCAACATTCAGATGAAACACGTGCAACATATGTACGAAACAATTGAAATATTTGCAACATACGTCTATAACATTTGCAAAAATACTTGAAAGCCATTGCAAAACATGTGCAACATCCCGATAAAACACTTGCAACATATGTGTGAAACATATGCAACATCTAGATAAACACACTTGCAACATACATCTGAAAAAATAGATGAAATATTTGGAATAGACGCTTGAAACATACGTGTATAGCCATTGCAACATATGCAACATTCTAATCTACTTTTGCAACATCCATATGAAACACTTGAAACATACACTTGCAACATGCGTTTTTCAGCAAAACTTGGTAGGCAGGCAGGCGGAGCATTGCACAGTGAGATCCGGCCATGCGGTCACGGTGGAGAAGGAGGATGGCAGTGGGCGGCAGCTGCGCTGCCCCTGACGATAGGGCATGTGCGGTGCCCCCGGTGAGCGATGCCGGCGGTGGAGGCGGCAGCAGCGGTTGGGCGGGTGCAACCTCACGCGATGAGGCGGCAACGGTTGTGCGGTCGCGGGGGAGCATGCGCGCGGCGGTGGTGGAGAGGAAGACCAGTGAGAGGCGCGGTGGAGGGGAAGGCGAGCGGGAGGCATGGCGGAGCGCGGTCGTGGCGCTGCGTGAGTTTTTTTTAGAAATTGCGGTGACAGAAGGGGAGTGGATAGGAACGGATAGAAACAAATAGGAGAGGCTTCTAGATGTCGGAGGCCCACCAACGGGGCGCCAGGACGGACGCCTGTTTCCTAGCATTACCGATATATCTAAGAAGAAAGCGCATACACACCAGTTGATCAACATACGTATAAATACACTAGCAAACATGATCCTGCATTGCATGTGCCTGTATACGCGTATAAATACACCAGTTGATACATCTAAGAAGAAAGCTCGTTTTAGAACTGGACTTTGTCATGTGCCTGTATACACGTTGCTCTAACTCGTATGGCCAGGTGATGCCTGGAGATTTATGCAATGAGCGCATTATGCACTCTAATTCATCTCTTAGGATTAAACTTCGCATCGTACCTGGACAGTTCTGACTCATATAAGGTACGCGAGAGAGTGATGTACCATGAAAATACTGTGTGCTTTAATATAAGGTTACACATAGATATAGATATCATTGTTGCCAGTGCATGCACGACCTTATTCGCTTATGTCTTAGAAGAACGTACATGGACGTATGTCTTAGCGCATTGTCGCAGTACTTGCACAGCTAACGTCCGTCATCGTCCGTCTTACACAACGAGTTAAACCCTCCAGCAGTTGAGCCTGATCTGCCCCTGTGATCCGGTGAGTGGACTGAGGTTCCCCATCTTCACCATCGCCGCCGCGAAGGCGCTGGTGAAGGCGGCAGCGTTGGACGCGAAGTTGCTGACCGTACTGTCGGCGCTGCCGTTGTTGAAGAGCTCCTGGTCCGAGTGCAGGAGGCCCCTCTGGGACAGCAGGTTGGTGTAGTAGGCGTTGTCAAACGCGGTCGGGGTCATGGTGTCCAGCGGTGCTAGGCTGGTGCCGCCAGACGCGGGGCAGTTGGCCCTCAGCGACGTCGCGAAGGCGGAGTTGATGTTGGTGTCGTTGTAGATGTGGTCGTTGAAGCTGGAGCACTGCGCCTGTCCGATAGTGTGAGCTCCTGCATGCAAAGGTACGGTGCACTGCATCGTCAGTTTCCAAACATGCATGCATGTCAAAGCAAGCTACTATACGATCGAGTTGTACGACGTATCACTGGATATATATATTCTAGCTAGCTAGGCTACGGTATGCATATGCACCTGAGAGGGCAACCATGTCGGTTTGGTCGAGGTTCTTCTTGCTATACGCAGACAAAAGTTGTTGGAGGCTAGACGTAGGAGGTGGGAGGTCGCTTGTCTGGCCAGGGAATGAAGCATTAGAGTCCCTTCGCCCCAGTACAACTGTCCACGAAGGCCCGCCGAGCTGGACAGGAAGTTGCAAATTAAACCAACAGCAACAGAGTGCACGAGCATCATCAGCTACGGTGGTAATAATCTAAGTATCTAACACAGATCGAAGCACAGCAATGGTAATGATATCTCACCGCAACGACTCCGTCTCGGGCGGCGACGGCGAGGATGTCGGCGTAGGAGACGATCCCCGGGCACACCGCCTCCACCTGCGCCTTGATGCTGTTGACGACAGTGAAGCCCCTCGGGTTCAGACTTAAATTCGGGCCCTGGGTCTGCTCCCCTGACGTGTCGTTCAGTAGAAGGGACGCGTCGCAGCCCTGGATGATCAGTAGGGTTCAGATATTTCTCGCTACTTAGTTGCAATGGTCAACGTCGTATATAAAGAGAAACTTTGATATGGAAATATGATATCTGAATGTTAGTATATATACGTAGAAAGAAATAAAGCAGGAGAAGAAAACATGAGGGTCGTTATTAAGGATGTGGGACTTGCTCGGACAAAGCAGTCGTGGAAATGGAGCCTGAGCAGCGACGCCCCCACGCGAGGCTCCTGCCTCACCGCGGTGTTCACGCCGTTCCTGATGGTCGACAGCGCGTTGGGGCACGACCTGTCGTAGAACGTCGGCGACAGCTGCGCCGACGCCGCCGAGGCCAGCAGCACCACCAACAGGCTAAGGCAAGAGGCAGAGGCGGTGGCCATGGCTGTGAACTGCGATGCTCTTCTGCTCGTTGGCTTTGTGGTGTGCAGCGAATGCTGTATACATGCATATTTATAGGGCCCACACTGATGCCTTCATCATCATGCATGTCACTAGGGATCAGAACATCCAAACCGGATGCCAAGCTTGTCAGTGTTGGTTTAATTAGTTTCTGAAAGCCGGCAACCATTTTCGTCATGCAGTGAAGATACAGGTAGCCACTCGGCCCGGCACACGGTATTGAGCAGCATGTGATAGATTGGCATACAATATATGTGCGTTAGGTGGCTGAACAACATCATGAGCGCAATTTTGTATGCAAGCTAGCTAAGCATATGTATATATATATATATATATATATATATATATATATATATATATATATATATATATATATGGGTGTTATCCGGTTCGATCGAAATAATTGCTATGGCCGGCACCAACTCTCGAGAGACGCTAGCTAGCTTGTCATGTTTATATATATAGATGGAGAGATGGCCCAGGAAATAGTATGCGAACCAGTGCGTGGCGCAGCATCTGTAGTGTACTTACCTTCTGTGCAATAGTACAATATGTTGTAACATGGCCACCGCGAGTGGCGGAGACCTACGCAGTCAGCAGGTTACGAGGGCATCTCCGACCTGTTACCAAAACGGAGGTTCTGCTCCCACGCCTCCAAACCCGGGAAAAAGAACGGTTTGTTAGATTGAGCTTGCAGGTTGCGGACGACGGCCCTGGCGCGGTCTCCGCCCGGCCGGCTCGTAGGCGTCTCCGGCCGATGGGGCGGAGGCCGCTCCGCCAGGAGACTAATTAAATGCCAACAATGTTTGGGTATGTGCAGGTAACCAGATGAGGGCGCTCATGGACTGCACGGGTGCTCCAGCATGGTCTCCGCCCGTCGGGGCGAAGACCCAAGTAGGAGATCGGTGATCCTGGGATGCCGGAGGCCTACGGCTTCGGCACTCCCAGAGGCGGAGGCCCGAAGGCTCGTCGTCGGATCCTGAGGCCGGACAGAGCGGAGACCTACGGCGGAGGCCCTAAAGCCCCTCGCCGAGTCCTGAGGCCCGATGGGCCGGTTGATCATGCAGGCCCAGTACCAGATGGCGGCATGGCAAGATTACCCCCGAGACGGAAGGCGAGTAGAGGAATATCCCAAGAATGTACTGTAGCAGTTGAGGGATACTACTGTAAACTCTGTGAAAGTGGTAGTTGAGCCCTATAAATAGGGAACACTTGTAACAATAAAGGGGGTTGTTGGTACAAGAATTAATGAAACCCTAGTTTTGCGTACCATTTCTTTACACGTCCATCTATCGCGCCTGTTTCCCGCGCCTCCGCCGGGAGGTGCGGCGTAGTAGGCGGAGGCCTCTACCTCCTCCACACTGTCTGAGAGGCGGAGGCCTCTACCTCCTCTACACTGTCTGAGACCGTCAGTTTCAACATTGGCGCCCACCGTGGTTTGGCCAAGGCAAACCAACGATGGCAGGGAAAAGAAAAACCACCACCAGAGCAGCAGCGACCACGGGTCAGCGAGGAAGGCCTAGGCGCAACACTTGTAGCACCTCGCAACCTACGCCATGGAGGATGATGACACCAGAGCAGATGCCTGTGGTCAACCACCGGAACCCCAAGATCCGAGATTCAAGATCCGGAGGCCCAACCAAACTCAGCCACAACACCCGAGCAAGAAGCGCAATATAATGCAAGCACACGCTTGCAAAGAGCGCAACAAGAGAGGGACAGAATGGCGGCAAGCATTCGTAGCTAATCGCAAGCTATTCAAGCGTCAAGACAAGCAAAAAAAAAAAGCAACAACGATTGGCAGTCCTACATGCGGAGATGCTAAGTATGCAGCATGCAGTACCAGCGTTAACCTCCGCAATCCCAGCCTCCGCAACAACACCAACTGCAACCATGCTACAAGGCCCTATGCCAGTGATCAGCCAGCCCACGATGCCATCTCAGGTGATGCGAGGCCTATCGATCCCAAGTCCCCTCTCTCGAAGGCATACAACATCGCCATGGCCAACAAACAGCACAAGCCAATCACACTACCAAAGTTCAACGGAAAGACAGACCCCCCATCGGTTCATTATGAGTTACGAGGCGACAGAGAGCCTTGCCGGCGGAGACGACGCCATCCTGGCAAAGTCATTTGTTATTCCTACCGAAGGTGACGCGTTGGCTTGGTATTCCATGCTCAAACCCAAAGACAGTCTATTCACAGGAAAATCTCCGGGACAAGATATTGGCAAACTTCAAGGGCTAGCAAAGACGATCACGACATCCACAGATCTGTTCCAATGCGATACAAATGCAGGGAGAGACACTACATGACTACTTTCGAAATTCGTGCAACTAAAGGCAAAGGCACCAGACGTCCCGGAAGAGAGATCGCCATTGAAGCGGCGATCAAAGGGCTCCGAATCGGGCCGTTCGCAAAGACACCTAACAAGAAAGAAACCAACTTCCATACAGCGGCTTGTAATGACGAGTTCAAGAAGTCTGCGCAGATCGACAATGACATCCGAAAAAGGCCGGAGGAGCAGGGTCAAAACAGACAAAGAAACAACAGCAAAACTCACGGAAGAGCTATGCGAACCGAGCGCATCAAATCGAAACCGTGCCCGAGGGTGTGCTCAAGATCGAGGGTCAACCTCACCCCTAACAAGGGCAACTACTGTACAAGCAGGTCGGAGACCCAGACCAGGAACCAAGGTAGGCAAGGCTACCAAGGCAAAACCTGGAACAAAAACCACAACCACAAACAACGCAGGCCATATTGCGTTTTTCACGGCGAAAGCGCAGGGCACAACACCAAAGATTGTCCAGAGACAAAGGAGACACAGGAAAGAATGAAGAACAAGCAGACCACCCAACCTTGGCACAGCAGAACGCAAGAGAGGTCAACACCACCTACACAATCGCCACCAAAGTGATCTTCGCTTGATGTACCCAGCTAAACGCAAAACCAAATACATCCCTCCACACTAGCCTCCGCTTTGTTACCTGTAATTCCTACCAAAGATGATGGCGGGCGGCCTCCAAGAAGATCCTCGGCGGGCAACTATAGGTCGGAGGCAAGCCTGACCTACATAACCCAAAAACTCTCCACACAACCTACCTCGAAACAAACCTACCGCCACAAAACCAAAGCAGGTTCGAGTATCCGCCGCAACAGCAACAAATGCAACAACTGCCTCCGCCACCATCTCACAACCAACCCCCAACACCAAAAAACGAGCCAAACCTGAAAACCAAGTCAACCCTCATGGAGCATCGCCAACAATAGGCATGATAATCGCCAATAGCCGGAGGATCATCAATGGAGTTTCAAACGAAAAAGCAAAAAAATCACCTTACTGGTAAACAATGTAGCAGTCCGAGGCACAAAGAAAATATACTGATTGGTCCGAGTCCCAATCACCTTCACGAAGAAGATCTCCACTAGAAAGCTACCCTCACACGATGCAATGGTGATTAAAACAAACATAGCAAAGATGGGAGATAAGCAGAGTGTTGATTGACACTAGCGCTTCAAATGAGATATCATCTTCGCAAATACCTTCGACCAAATGAAGCTCAACAGAAATCAATTCTAGACCCTCCTAATCCCCTTAATAGGATTCGGAGGCAAGCGAACAAAGCACTAGGAAAAATATCACTCCCGAAGTGTCGTTTCGAACCTAAGCAAATGCTAGAACCGAGTACATAACCTTCGACATCGTCGAGTTGTATTACCCGTACAATGCCATCTTGGGCAGAGGATTCACAACCAAATTCAACGTAGCACTACATATGGCCTACCTGTGCATGAAAATACCAGCACTCCATGGTATTATCACAGTCCGAGGCAGCCAAAAAGAAGCAAGAAACATAGAAAAAGCTATCTACAGAGCCCAAAGAAACATCAATGCAGTCGACTCGGCAGACAAAGAACTAGAGCCTCCGGATATGCCCAGAGGAAAAACAGATATGGCAGGTCAAGAAGAGACAAAGCTGATCCCTCTAGAAAAGGAGTTACCAGACAGAAAAGTAACAATCAGCTCACAATTGAGCAAGGCAAAGGAGGAAGAGCTCATGGAAACTCTAGTAAAAAAACAAGGACATCTTCGCCTGGTCAGCCTCTGACCTCTAGGGAGTCAACAGGGACATCATACAAACCTGAAACCGGATATCAATGAAAACATGAGACCAAGAAAGCGTAAAAGAGAGAAAAATGTCTGAGGACGTAATCCCAGCGGCAAAGAAGGCGGAGGTGCAAAGATTGCTAGATGCAAAAGTGATCAGGGAAGTCAAGTATTCAGAATGGCTTGCAAACGTAGTACTGGTACCAAAGAAGAATGGCAAAATGAGAATGTGCATAGATTTCACAAATATGAATAAAGCTTGCAAAAAAGACCCTTTCCCATTGCCAAGAATAGATGCCTCCATCGACAAGGCAGCCAGATGCCAGAGGTTCTCTCTCCTCGATTGTTTCTCTGGGTATCACCAAATCTGGATGAAAAAAGAAGACAAAGACAAGAAAAGTTTCACCACTCCATTCGGGACATATTGCTACACCAGAATGCCAGAGGGCCTCAAAAATGCCAGAGCAACCTTTGCCAGAATGACAAAGGAAGTTTTGGGCTCACAACTAGATAGAAACATCATAGCCTACGTCGACGACATAGTGGTCATGAGCAAGAACAAGAATGATCATGTCTCCGACTTACAGGAGACCTTCGCCAACCTCAGGACAGCTGGCCTCCGTCTTAACCTAGAAAAATGTATATTTGGAGTCACAAAAGGGAAGATGATCGGTTATATCATAAGCAGCGAAGGCATCAAAGCGAACCCGGACAAAACCAGAGCAATAATGACAATGGCAGAGCCCAAAAACAAGAAAGAAGTGCAAAAGCTGACGGGAAGAATAGCAGCGCTCAACAGATTCATCTCAAAATCAGCAGAACGTAGCCTACTCTTCTTCCAAGCCCTGAGGGGCGGAGGCAACTTCGAATGG